GTTACGATGTACTATTATTTTATTTAGTTTTAATTAGTTACTATGCATTAGGATTAGTTTGCCCAAAATGCCTCGGCATTATAGTGGCTATCTTTGTACTTAGCAAATCAAAATTGTAATTAAACATTGTAACCTTTACAAAGAAATAAACTTTACTTTACTTTACTTTAATAGAGTATTCATAGGTTACACAATGTAACAGTTGTGTTTTGTATCTCTGTAATATGCGATGTGTTTCAGTCTGGTTATATATTTTTTGTAAAGTCCTACATTGTAGTCTTCCATTTTCCACGCGTTTATCATGTTCTATCTCTAGTCTTCGCGACTAACCCACAAACTGGAAAGAGACAATGAAAACTAGGCAATGTTTGGGTCTCTCCTGGTCCATTATCCAGTCTCTGATGACTAGGATAACATAGCACAAGACTGTCTTGTTTCTTGAACTTCTCTTGCATAGACATTTTTATTTTAAATAGTTAGCGTTGATATAGAACAGTAAGTTGAAGACATTTAAGAAACCAGTATCTGACTTTTATAATTACACATGTAAGACTGATAACTCTGTACAACATGTTCTTCTTCGAGACAACGTAGATTTTATTTGGCATGTTTAATTGGTTGTTGTTTTTTTCTCTTTCCTCTAAGGTTTTCGTACATAACCTGAGAACACCGCATACGATTGGCATCAATTTTCAACGGTGTTGTACTGTAACTAGGGAAAGGTTTGAGCAACTAGTGGCATGTGCAGTTGTTCTCTGGTTCACTTTATTTAGATTGTTCCCGGTTTTGGTTTCCGTGTGGTAACTTGAGGAAGTTTCTGATCACCTTCAGGTTTTCAACACTGGTGCCAATTTGCTATTTTTTTAGAGCAATGTGTATTTTTTTCGTTAAATATCTTAAGTATCTGAATGGCTTCAGTCGTTAATGACCAATGCATTTTTTGAGAAAGATGCCACCGTGTGAGTCTGAACTATGTAGGTGCAAATTTACCAGTACACTTAGTTAAAAAATATTTGGAACTGGAGTATGTATGATAATTAGAGAATGCCTCTTCTGATTGAGTTCAAACTCTTAACGCTTTTGAGTTATGTTCAGCGGAGGGATTCCATTGTTATTAGTCTGCAACACTCCAAATTTAGCAAGTTTACTAAACTAATTGTGATATTAATTTCCATTTAATAATTGAAGTATGCTCATTCTAAATGGCTTCAAACCTTTTACATTGGTGCATTTAATGAGACGAATGAATCACAAATAATCCGCACCCGTCGCCATAAGATTGTCTCTTATTTTTGGAACTGGGCTTCATTTGTGTGGTATTTTCAGTTATTTTAAGTTAGATTAGACTGAGTTGGGTTGGGTTAGGTTGGGGTAGGTTAGGTAAGATGGGCTGAGTTAGGAAATGTCAGTTTAGGCTAGGTTAACCTACATTAACCAAGATTAACGACCCTCTGGCCATCTTTAGGGCGAGTTACAGGAACTGAGGTGTTTACAGACTAAGAGGATTTTCACATTGCTTCATTAGATTTCCCTCAAATTTTCACGATGTTCGAGCGGGGGTGAGTTTCAGCTCCTGGACCTCTTTAGGGTGTCTGAACTACAGCTGCTAGTTCTCTTCGGAACACTTGAGATCGTCAAAATTCTTCATCAGCTGAGCTCAGATTTTAATTGAGTTTGATAGCGTTAAGGTTCAGCTCCCGGACCTCTTGTAGGTGCTAATCCCCAGCCCTTTTGGGGTGTTGATACTGGAAACCAGTCATAAGAGACACTAGGAACTGTGTTGAATGGTTATGTCTCACAACTCTACGGGCATCACCTGCCAAGTATTACTGAGTGATTGGCTTGTATTATTAGTACTGGAATGCAGTCAGTATGTACATATGCATATATACACATGAGCTGCAGCTCCTCTGCCTCTTGAGGGTTCTGAGATACAGGGGCGGTGGTTATCGAAGGGTAATACCTCTCACAGATCGTTCAGCTAGTGAAGCACGTTATACGTGTATCAGATAACATTGCGATAACGCATGGAGGAGTCGGCCGAGCACACAATAGCACTTTTCTCGTAACCTTGTCTTTGTTCCAGTGAGTCCTCCCCTCTTTCCTGAAACCACAACTGAAAAACACTTACCTCTCTTTACTGCCGAAATGATTCGCCTGTGCAGTAGGCTTCTTCAGTAAAATATATCGAATATAGTCACCTCTATTCGACTGAAGAAAACTGCTGTGCAGGCGAAAAATTTTGGGAATTAAGATACCCAAGTGTTGTACATGTGTCTTAGTCACCAACTTGTCAGTAATGTATACAATTAAAAATAAGATACACAGCTGAATACCTGGTCAAAAGAGCATGACTCAAATATCAAGCCTATCAGCATGACGTCTCTGAAAAAGACGATGTGTAAGAAAACCTACACACAGTGGCCCTGAATTATTATTATTATTATTATTATTATTATTATTATTATTATTATTATTATTATTATTATTATTATTATTATTATTATTATTATTATCAAGGGGGAAGCGCTAAACCCCTAGGATTATACAGCGCCTGGGGGGGGGGGGAATGTGGAAGGCATTCAGCCTTAATTCGGGGGACTGAAGCACAGATCCCCTAAATCAAGAGCCCCTCACTAACATCAAGGAACCTTCCCTGAGGGGACAGTGGCCCTGAAGCTTGAGCTGTAATGGGGGCCCTTTAGCAACCAGCAACAGCTAGCCTACATGATATTTTAATAACCTTTTAATTTATATTTTAAATGTTATTTTGTATTGAATTTCACTACATTATTCATATTATTAAAAAAAAAAACCTTCTCATACAGCAGACCCAAAATGTTTAAGCAATGCGAACTGACGAGGCTTTTGGAGCACCTCCGGGATTAGGGGCCCTAAAACTTAAGCTTCATTAGAAGGTCCGCCTCTGCCTACGTAATATATCTCAAGATTTCGCGACCTCGAGAAAGCTCTCTGGGACAGATGGTCTCTCAAGATCTCCTGTGTCAAGGGCAGCCTCATGTAACATTTGGAATTTCAAAATTACCTGACGTCTCTGAGGAAAAGAATACCGAGAGAATCCTACACAAAATATCTCCCAAGATCTCTTGACGTCTCTCAACCAGAAGATATCAAGAAAATCCAGTACAAAAAAAAAATATCTCAGAGTCTCCTGATGTTTCTCTGTTGAATATAACAAGTTGGTTTATGATATATGGTGAATGTATGATATATTTTAAGATTTTTTTGCGAGTCTGGTATAATATATGAAGTGGTAAATACTGAAATAGGATATATTTTTGTTTTTTGCATATTTTGTAAATATTGAAAAAAGTAAAAACAATAGTACGAATGCAAATATGATTTAGATCAACAGCATTGTTGTTGTTGTTGATAAACTGGGCTTTAACATAATTTATATATGCAGAATTTAGACTGGATTTAGGAAGCGTCTTGTACCTATATTTTTGAAGTAGGTGGCAGACGGGGCTTCTTTTTGCATCTCCTGGGAATTCCAATTATGGGGCCCATGGTATGACAAAGATGTACATGACGGGAGAGGTCTGGTGAGACCGACAGTATGTACATAAAAAGAAACACACATGGTTCAAGACATTTATTGGGGAATCATTTCGGCACAAGTGGCTGGTAGTAAATAAGCAACTTGTGGCGAAACGTTTCTAAAATAAATATCTTAAGCTGTGCATATGTGTCTTTATCTATACAAAGGACTACTTGTTTCTTATTGTGTCTATGTGTTATAGTGCAGCTCTCCAGGAAGACTCGGAACCTGGGTTCAAGTTCGTTCTAAGTCTCCTGTATAAATAAAAGGTTCAGTAGTAGGTGTAAATGTTTTCTAAGTTGAGTAAGTTAGAACTTGAATAGTGAAGGTGAATATTGGATAGTGAAGGTGAATATTGAATAGTGGGGGTGAATATTGAATAGTGGGGGTGAATATTGAATAGTGGGGGTGAATATTGAATAGTGGGGGTGAATATTGAATAGTGGGGGTGAATATTGAATAGTGAGGGTGAATATTGAATAGTGGGGGTGAATATTGAATAGTGAAGGTGAATATTGAATAGTGGGGGTGAATATTGAATAGTGGGGGTGAATATTGAATAGTGGGGGTGAATATTGAATAGTGGGGTGAATATTGAATAGTGGGGGTGAATATTGAATAGTGGGGGTGAATATTGAATAGTGGGGGTGAATATTGAATAGTGGGGGTGAATATTGAATAGTGGGGGTGAATATTGAATAGTGGGGGTGAATGTTTAGAACCCGAGAGGGTGATTAGTCTACTAGCTGATTTATGTTGGGTAATAATGTCGTAGCTGTTTATATACGCTGTGTTATAATATTCATGGGGGAGAGATGAACTCATAAGCGCCATGAGGTGGGGAAGTAGGTAATAAGATTTGTCTCTGGAAATTGGAGATAGTTCCATTTTCTCTGATCAAGAGCCCTTCATTAGCAATAATGCATCTCCCTCTTGTCTTTTTGGATAATTTCAGCACGTTATTTATTTTTCCTTTATTTATTCCTGTTTTCCATTTGTAAGCTTCACTCATAGCCTGATTCCACGCCTTTCTTAAGAGTCCAAATTCAGTACCCTAAGTGTATCATGTAGGAAAGATTTCTGATACAAGGTATCAACTTTGTCATCCTTCTATGTATGTTTTTCATCGCATTTATGTCCGTTCTGTGACCAGAACTGTGCAGCATGATATGCAAAGTTGACGTATAACCTCTGCTCCTATTATTTATATCTCTTGATATGAAGCCAAGAATTCTGTAAGCTTTTTCAATTACTGTTAACTAGAACACCTAATTATTTTTTGCACTCAGTTAAAGACCTGAAATACCTGGTTTATAAGCACTATGTTTGTGCTTTCCCCAGGATTTACAACCTTACAATTCCCCACTTCCCAGTTCTTAACGTTGTAAATGCATCTTATTGACAACACCAAAAATTATCGTGGTTTTTATTTCTACAGGTGTCCAGCGGGGGTAATGGAGGAGCCTAGAGAGGTGGGTGTGGGGGATGTGGTGGAGACAGGCGAAGGTGTAGGTGAGGGCAAGGTGAAGGTGAAGAGAGGTAGAGGTGGGTCGGAACCACCTGCCTACCGCTCCTACCCACAGCGATGGGCCATCCTCCTCGCCGTTACTCTTCTCAATATCTCCAACGCCTCGGTAAATTAATTAGTACCCTGTATAATTAGTAACCTTTTGTAATTAGTACCCTTTGTGATTTATTCACTGCATAATTAGTATGTTAATTAGTAACCTCCATAATTAGTACCATTTGTAATTTATTTACTGCATAATTAGTATGTATAATTAGTATCTGTATAATTAGTACCCTCTATAATTAGTATCCTGTATGATTAGTACCTTGTATGAGTAGTACCCTATATAATTAGCACTATAATTTAGCATCCTGTATGATTAGTACCCAGTACTCATGAAGAACCACACTGAAAACAGAAACATTAGGATGACATTTTGGTCTGTCCTGGTCTAATTGCCAAATAACAGCTGAAAGAGCAACAGAAAGAAAAGGTCAGAGGACAGAATGGGGAGAGGAAGGATGAGGAAGAAGAGAGGAGTAGGAGGAGCACGAGAATAGTAGCAATAGTGGTGGAGGTGGTAATATTATTATTATTAGTAGTAGTAGTAGCATATAAGTGGTAGTAACAGTATTGAGGAAGTAATAGTAGAGAGAATGGTAGTATGAAAGAATCAGTAATAGTAGCAGAAGAGCGCTAAACCAGTGGACTACACAACCACGGGCTTAGGGCAAAAACCCAACGGAATGAAGCCTCCAAAGAAAAAAAAAATCCCAGGAACAGAACCCACCAAAACAGAAAACAGAAAGGAGAAGAAAAAGATAATGCAGAAGACAGAAGAAGTTTAAAAAGAGGATGTGGCAATCAGGACAGGTCACGGGAGGTTTAGAAGTCTGGAGGTTCGGTTAGCTTAGGTTAGGTAAGATTTATCCGGAAACGGGACAAGTGTTTCCTGACGCGGGTCTTAGTCATACGATGACCCGCCGCTGGAGCGTTTGGTCATCTGACCGAGGCCTTCCTCTGGCTCACCGAACCACTCCTTTAAAATTAAGGTTATGATTATAACCATTCTTTTCCTTGAAGTTTGGAGCCCTTGACAAGGCAATAGGCAAGACAGGCAGCAACAGAAACAAAGCCGGAACTAAGATACATGTTAGGAAAGTTGTGTAAAGAGCTGCTTGAACAAGACTGCGTAGGGGGATGGGACTCAGCTCTAAGAACGTGGGCCAGTAGTCCTCCTGCAGTGTTCTTTGTGTTCTCCTGTTTTCTTTTATATGACCTCTTGTATCAATATGACTAATTCTTTCACTACTACTACTACTACTACTACTACTACTACTACTACTACTACTACTACTACTACTACTACTACTACTACTACTGCTACTACTACTACTACTACTACTACTACTACTACTACTACTACTCTCTCTCCCTCTACTATTACTTATACTTTTAGAAGCATGTGCGATTAATACCCTGTATGATTGATACACTGTACGATCTGTATTCTGTATGATTATTACCATGTATAATTAGTACTCTGTATGATTATTACCGTATGTGATTCATACCCTGTGTGATTAGTATTGTGCATGATTAGAACTGCGTGATTAGTACTGTGCATGATTAGTACTTTATATGATTAGGACCCTGTATGATTAATACTGTGCTTGATTATTACCCAATATGATTTGTACCCTGTATGATTAGTACCCTATAAAATTAGTACACTGCATGATTTTTTTTATGTTAGTATTCTTTATGATTAGTACCCTGTATAATTAGTACCTTGAATTATTAGTACCACGTGTAATTAGTACTCTGGATTAGTGCCTTGTTTACCTTGTACCCCATATAGACAGTATCCTATTAAACTTTTACCATAAGTTAAAATCATGTATAATTAGCATTCTATATGATTAGTATGCTGAGTAACTAATATACTGTATAATTTATACCCTGTATAATTAGTAGCCAGTGTAATTAGTGCCCTGTATAATTAGTACCCTGTATAATTAGTACCCTGTATAATTAGTACCCTGTATAATTAGTTGCACTAAACTTACAACCGAGTTATTAATTTACGGAATCCATTACTGTGGTCTATGCTTGACCATTACTAGATTTAAAGGCTTGATGATGGTCCCAGGCGCAGCGGAAAGTTGTCTTAGGTTTCCTTTCTGGAAGCAAATTTTGAACTGTTCCCGCCACCGGTACTGTGGCTCTTATTTCTCATGAAGCCTTTCTCTGGTTCTCATAAATGTTCGTAGAACCATGATTAAAGTGTTTGGATAGGTGAAGCTTTAGTTTTGGATGGGTGAAGCTCATTTTTCTGGATGGGTGAGGATTCTGTGTGGATGATTGAGACTCCTATCTGGATGGGCGAGTGTCCTGTTTTGATGGGAGAGGGTCCTGTTTGGATGTGATAGGCTCCTGTTTGGAAGGGTAAGGCTCTACTTTGGCTCACGTTTAAAAGAGTGCGGTCCCTGTGTGGATGGGCGACTATTACACCCTTGTCTGCAGCATCTGAAGACTCGGTAACACAGTATTTCAAATTCAAACAGCGTACTGCGCACACTAATAAAGACAAAGTAAACTTTTACTGGGACAACATAGAGCGTATCGATCTGCGCAGAGCTAAATCAAGTGCTACATCAAGCTCATCACAGAGCGAAACGTTGTGCCAATTAAAGCTTGTCCTTAGGAGACAGATTTAAAAAGAAGACTTCATCCCCTGTCCATTGTTGAGGGACGTATTCTTTAGTAATGCTGGTGATTGGGTTGATCTTGTAAGTAGTACTTTGATCCAGAGACTGATCATCTTGTATAAGATTTCGTCTTCTACCAACGCTGGTGTCTCCAGGAGGGTGATTAATCTCAGTATTCGACTGATGAAGCCTGCGTGCAGCACAGGCGAAACGTTTCATCAGTAAAGATTCCTAGTGTTGCACATGTGTCTTGCTTATCAGAACGAAGTGCTGTATAGTCAAGAACCTTGTAGTCACTCATCCAGTTAGAATCTTCAATAGACAGCTGGTTCTACCAGATGTGCCTGATAACCTGCTGGTAATAGCTTTCCCTTCTCTTGCCAGCTGTGGATCAACTTGGCGCCTGTGTCGTACAAGGCAGCAGACTACTTCAAGGTGCCTGTCGCAGGCATCAACTGGTTCAGTCTGGTCTATCTCTTCGTCTCCATACCATTCTGCTTTATCTCCACCTTCATCGTCAATGCCCTCGGTCTCAGACCTTCCGTGAGTAGATCACAAACTTGTAAATAAGGTATTGTTATTATTGTTATTATTATTATTATTATTATTATTATTATTATTATTATTATTATTATTAGTAGTAGTAGTAGTAGTAGTAGTAGTAGTAGTAGTAGTAGTAGTAGTAGCAGTAGTAGTAGTAGTAGTAGCAGTAGCAGTAGTAGTAGTAGTATCTAATTCACCAATGTTCTTATTTTCCTCTCTTTCTCAGTGAGGCTGATATATCATTCTCTTTTTTTATTTTCTTTATACTTCTCTTTCTTGCCCTTCCTAACAATATCTCTAAGTGAGTAACAGTATGCTGGAAATTATATACACTGATGGAAAAAGCATAAGGAGTGTACTGGAAGGAGTGCATCTGCTCTTGCATAAGAATTAACAACTGGGCATCTACACTGCAAACTAATTAATTATTTTTTTACCATTCTATCGGCACTGAAGTTAACGTATGACGCTGAGTTTGACTCTGATTGTTACCGATCCATATCATTATTGAGGGTGTTTGACTCACATAATACTTTTAACCATATGATTATTAGAGAAGCCAGGTATTGATACTCAAATATCAGAGAAAAATGAATTAATGTGCAGTTTTATGAATTCCACCACACACTGAATTACTCCTTCAATGTAAAGTTGATAATTAGCCAAAGAAAGTACCCTGAAGGAAAATGTTTGGCAGATGATGATCAAACTGAATGTAAAGAATGTGGCCAGCATTATAGTTACTTTTTTAAACACTATCTGCTTGATTGTCTACTTAATGAGGAATATATAGACAGTATAATGCCCTATGTGATATGTCAAGGTATCTTATTAATGGAAATAAGACAACAGGCTTATTAAGCAAATATCAAAAAAAAAAAAAATCAACGCACCGGCCGTCTCCCACCGAGGCAGGGTGGCCCAAAAAGAAAAATGAAAGTTTCTCTTTTAAATTTAGTAATTTATACAGGTGAAGGGGTTACTAGCCCCTTGTTCCCGGCATTTTAGTCGCTCTTACGACACGCATGGCTTACGGAGGAAGAATGCTTTTCCACTTCCCCATGGAAACAAGAGGAAATAAAAGTAGAAAGATATACCTAGTAGCAATATATACCTAGTAGCAAGATATACCTAGTAGCAAGATATACCTAGTAGCAAGATATACCTAGTAGCAAGATATACCTAGTAGCAAGATATACCTAGTATCCCGCGTATTTTTGAGACAAAAACAGACACCAGCAATCCTACCATCATGTAAAACAATTACAGGTTTCTGTTTCACTCATTTGGCAGGACGGTTGTACCTCCCTGGGTGGTTGCTGTCTACCAACCTACTACCACAGGACGGTAGTACCTTCCTGGGTGGTTGCTGTCTACCAACCTACTACCACAGGACGGTAGTACCTTCCTGGGTGGTTGCGGTCTACCAACCTACTACCACAGGACGGTAGTACCTTCCTGGGTGGTTGTGGTTTACCAACTATACCACAGGACGGTAGTACCTTTTCCCGGGTGGTTGCTGTCTACCAACCTACTACCACAGGGCGGTAGTGCCTCCCTGGGTGGTTGCTGTCTACAAACCTACTACCACAGGACGGTAGTACCTTCCTGGGTGGTTGCTGTCTACCAACCTACTACCACAGGACGGTAGTGCCTCCCTTGGTGGTTGCTGTCTACAAACCTACTACCACAGGACGGTAGTACCTTCCTGGGTGGTTGTGGTTTACCAACCTACTACCACAGGACGGTAGTACCTTCCTGGGTGGTTGCTGTCTACCAACCTACTACCACAGGACGGTAATACCTCCCTGGGTGGTTGATGTGTACCAACCTACTACCACAGGACGGAAGTACCTCCCTGGGTGGTTGCTGTCTACTAACCTACTGCCACAGGACGGTAGTACCTCCCTGGGCGGTTGATGTCTACCAACCCACTATCTAGATAAGAGAATTATAGATATAAATACAGACGTACTCGCGTTTTAACACTCTTGGGGGCCTAGTTCCTGCACCTTTTGTGTATCTGTTAAACCTTTCGGAGAGTATTTCCTAGATATTTTGTGTATCCATATGCTTTTGTGCTACTACCATCCACCGGATGGATATGGGGTCCACAATGAACTAGTCGCTTCGGAGGAAAAATTAAAAATCAAATCTAACTCTATACTTACGGTAGTTAAGTAAGTTCACAACTAACTCAAGGAATTGTGAAGGCTCGACCCTCCATCCGTTAGTTACAACAATCACTTGTCAGAATTTAGATTATATTACACGACGTTTCCGCCCTCGCCAGGATCAATATCACTTTGCTACTTGGTAAAGGTCCAGGAACGACCGAAATGCCGTCTGGTTTCATCTTCGATATGTGGGTTAGTTGCTATTTATTCCAGCCACGTTATTGCCACTTTTATTGCTCAGACTAAATTGGCACTTGAATTACAATAAATGTCCTACGGTCTGTGCTACAATGACAGGAACGAAAACAAGGACACAAATCTTTATTGGGACAAATTTTCGCTCTAAGGAGAGCTGTACTGAGACAACTTCTTGCTCTAAGTGAGCGCTTATGGGACAGCGTTTTGCTCTAAGGAGAGCTTTATTGGGAAACGTTTTGATCTAAGAAGAGCTTTACCAAGAGCGAACCGTTTTCACACTAAAGGTTCTTTCAGTATCTAAATGACGTATCGCCGAAAATAATGAAGAAAATACACAGGTTTCAAGAAAATCCTTTATTATGGGACCATTTTCCCCTCTGTATAGAGTTTGATAAAACACTACACACAGCCATAGTTTAACCTAATAAGAGCTTGCTGTGCAATCTGTCTGTTCTGCAAAGGCTTATTACGCTGCATGATTATTTGTTTTCAATGCAGAGAGGAGAATACAAGTCTTGCATGACACCAGGCGATTAGTTTCTCCTCTGGGCCAACATACTAGTGTTCCTGCTGACTCGGGCACCGGGGTTATGTTCGTTTATCGTATTTAACTTTTAAGGCACAGGACTCCCAGAGAATAATATTGACAACGGATTAGTGATATTCTTTCGTTAAATGTAATTTGTGCTTTATCATTAACGTAGATCATGTTTCTATGGTATTCATGGGACTGCGATAACGAACTTTAGTCTATTGAAAGCCTCTTTAGATATGTATACAGAATAAGCATTGTTAAGCTTGCCTGTTTGTGATTATGTTGTATTAGACAGGTATACGACTATTCCTCAGGATGCGGCCCATAGAAGTAAACCAACACCAAGGTACCTATTTACCGCTAGGTAAACAGGGGCAGCAGGAGTAAAGAGACCTGACCTAACGTCTTGCTCTTTGGGACACTAGCACAGTATACATAATACTGTAAATGCAGCATTATGTATACTGTCGTTCATGGTGTATAGAATGATAGAGACAAGGAGGTTTCTATCGCTAGGGCATTTACCAATGATACAACAGTCAATCATTACCTGAGACGCTGGGACTCAAAATTAGTTGCTCTGAAATCCCTTATGAGATCCTTCGTTTTCTTATCTTTTTTTTTTTCTCTCTCTAACTCTTTAAGGAATTTGGCTTCGCATTTTTCTCGTGAGCAGAGAGTGTTCGAGCCAACTGGAACTAAAGTATTTACAGTTGAAGCCTTGTTACTGGATACCGAGACTTGGTTTAATTGAGACAGGTGAGCAAAAACTAGGCCATGTTCATTAAGAAAACGTTTCGGTCCTGGGACCTTGATTACATCTCAGAGCAGAAACTTTTCCTAGTAAATATATCCAAGTTTTTGTTCACTTGTCTCTCTAAACCGAGACTGTATATGGATGAGCAAATTATCTGTATTTTCTAGACTTCTACTGCGAAGACAGTTTCTGAGAGACTTGTTGTGTTCACAGATCCAGATAGGGTCGGCGCTGAACTGCCTGGGAGCTGTGATTCGAGGTATCTCTACTTCAGGGCTCATCCCCTCTTGCCGCGCCCAGTACGCCGTCTGTATCACTGGCCAGGTGGGTGTGGTGAATGTGCATGTGATGGGTGTGGTGGATGTGCATGTGGTGGGTGTGGTGGATGTGTACGTGGCGTGCTAGTGTATGTGCATATGGTGTGCTGGTGGATGTGCACACCATAACTATATCTAATGAAGAAATAACTCGAAATAGTAGATAGTAGTTTGATAATTCTAGATTACTTCAACCTCAGGGAGGTCATGAAGTGGAATGACCAGGAACAAGTAATCTTGGAGGCAGGCTACAAGACTACTTGTTCCTGGTCATAGTTTTAAGAATAGGTATGACAGGTAAAAAGCAAGTTAAAAGGCAAAGCCAAGAGCTGCAATAAGCGAGTGCAAAAATGACGTGTGTAAGGCACTTACATCCACACTGGTGTGTGTGTGTGTGTGTGTACTCATCTAATTGTGGTTGTACGGGTCGATTCACAGCTCCTGGCTCCGCCTCTTCACTGTGTGTGTGTTGTGACTGACACAGTACTCTCTATCAGGTGTTGGCTGGCATGGCTCAGTCCTTCCTCCTCTTCATACCAACCAAGGTATCTCAACTCTGGTTCCCAGAGAACTCTCGTACACTCTCCACCACCGTCCTCTCTCTCTGTGAGTACCAACCCCTCATTTTTATGCAATCTTGTTAGTTTTAAAGCCAATTGAATGCATCTGTTCTGTTGCATCATCGGTCAAAAGAGCCTAAATTCAGAACTGAATATACAAATGCCTCGTTTGACTGAGTCATGTCCAAGGCTGAAGCAGCTTTACATTTTTGCATTTTTTTAAATGAACATGATAAGTTTTCCATTATCATAAGACCTGAGTGAATTTCTTTCACGATTATTTTAAGGTATCAGTCTGCCCCAAATCTATGTTAGTAAGAGTGTTAGATAAGACCAGACCAGGAATATCCAAACAGGAAATATATAAACCAAGATATATATATATAATATATATATATATATATATAAATATATATATATATATATATATATATATATATATATATAAGGATTTTAATGATTAAATTTTTTTAATGGTAGTAAATAGGTGATGTGGGGTCATTTTTAGACAGTTATCACTTTCGTAAAAATTTTGTACTTGTTTGTACTTACCTATATGTAGTTGCTGGGCTCAAGTTTCCGCTCTCGGCCTTATCTCCTCCCTCGCCGCTACCGTCTTAATGCGGAGTTTCAGATGCCTTTCCTTTCGTTGGATCGAACCTCATTGCTCCTGATCCCTGATCCCATTTCCTAGCGATGTGTAACCTCTTGGGGTTTAGCGCTTTCCCATGGATATAATAATAATAATAATAACGACATCAAGAACAACAAGAATAATAATAAAATAAAGTAATAATAATAATAAAAATAGCAATAATAATAATATAATAAATAATAATAATAATAATAATAATAGCAATAATAATAATAATAATAGCAATAATAATAATAATAATAATAATAATAATAATAATAATAATAATAATAATAATAATAATAATAATAATGGGTATAGGGAAGGTAATAAGCCAACAAATGAGTTAATTTTTCAAACTAATCTAAACAATCAATGGAGGTGAAGACGGGCGACATTTCGATCGCTTCTTGATCATGGTTCAGGATGGACCGAAACGTCGTCCAGTTATGATCTCTAATTTGTTGGTAAGTTGTGAATAGTTCCAGCATCGAACACTGTGAATTCAGTAACTTAAAACTATTTTTCAGAAAAAGGCATAATGTTTTGGGGACACGTTTTTTTTTTTATTTAGCAAAAGTAGATACACCACCAGCGTACGGATACCCAGTTCTATATGACAGTTATATAGTGGGAAGAAAAGCTAGTCACGTTTATCCTGTTATATTCCATCACACGGGATGGGTTTCATATACAATGTTGAAATCTGTCAGCCTGAGCTGGGAGACTTGGCAAGAATAATGTACACTCTCAGAGACATGTTCAGAAAGTGAGCCAGATGTGTGGCTGACACAGTCAGCTGAGCCCAGCTAAGGCAACTATCACTTTCCTGATAACAAAACTGTTATCAGGAAGGTGATGACCTTTCCCAACGCATACTATGCAGCAGAACCTTCATTTATTGGGGCAATTTTTTTTTTTTTTTGCTCTAGGGAGATTACTGGACCTGACCCATTAAAGATGTGTTCCGCTACATGCATCTTGTAGCTCATTCCTGGAAGCAGTGCGTCCTTGAGCAATTGCACTGTACGCCCACCAATCTTCCGGCGCCACTTCATAGGAAAACATGTTTTGTTGGATGGTTAATGAGGTTACAGTGCTGCATGTTGCCTGTCCACCAGGCAACATGCAGCACTGTAACCTCATTCTCAGGTTTGCCAGGCGTCCATATGCTGCAGCAGTTATCTGGTTGATGTGTGCTTCCGGAGACGTGCTCAGTGTTATACTCACCCCAAGATCTTTCTCCTTGAGCGAGGTTTGCAGTCTTCGGCCACCTAACCTATACCCGTCTGCGGTCTTCTTTGCACTTCCCCGATCTTCATAACTTTGCATTTGGCGGGGTTAAATTCGAAAAGCCAGTTGCTGGACCAGGTATCCAACCTGTCCAGGTCTCTTTGAAGTCCTACCTGATCCTCATCTGATTTAATTCTCCTCATTAACTTCACATCATCTGCGAATAGGGACACTTCTAAGTCTAACCCTTCCGTCATGTCATTCACATATACCAGAAATAGCACTGGTCCTAGGACCGACCCCTGTGGAGCCCCGCTCGTCACAGGTGCCCAGTGTGATACCTCATCACGTACAATGACTCGTTGCCTCCCTGTCAGGTATTCTCTGATCCATTGCAGTGCCCTTCCTGTTATACGTGCCTGATCCTCTAGTTTCTACACTAATCTCCTGTGAGGAACTGTGTCGAAGGCCTTCTTGCAGTCCAAGAAGATGCAATCAACCCGCCCCTCTCTCTCGTGTCTTACTTTATCATAAAACTCCAGTAGGTTTGTGACACAGGATTTGCCTTCCATAAATCCGTGCTGATTGGCATTTATACTCTTGTTCAATTCCAGGTGATCCACCACTGTCCTCCTGATAATTTTCTCCATGACTTTGCATACTATACACGTCAGTGACTTGGTCTATAGTTTAGTGCCTCTTTTTCTGTCTCCTTTTTTTTAAATATTGGTACTACATTTGCCGTCTTTCATACCTCAAGTAGTTGCCCAGTTTCAAGGGATATGTTGAAGATTATGGTTAGTGGCACACACAGCATTTCTGCTCCCTCTCTAAGGACCCACGGGGAGATGTCTGGTCTCATTGCCTTTGAGGTATAAAGGTCCCTTAGCAGCTTCTTCACCTCCTCCTCAGTTGTGTTTATGTCATCCAACACTAGTTGGTATTTTCCTTGTTGGTGTCCCCCTCCTTTCTGTCCACCCACAGGCCTTCCTGTCTCCACTGTAAATACTTCCTTAAATCTCATGTTGAGCCCCTCACATACCTCTCGATCGTTTCTGGTGAGTTCCCCACTTTCTTTCCAACAGCCTTGACTGTTGTCTTCCTCCTAATGGGGTTATACATCAATTTCGGGTCAGACTTGATTTTCGATGCTATGTCGTTTTCGTACTGTAGCTGGGGTTCCCTCCTTATCTGTGCATACTCGTTTCTGGCTCTTCGACTAATCTCTTTATTTTTCCTGGGTCCTTTGCATCCTGTACCTTTTCCATTCTCTGGTGCACTTAGTTTTTGCCTCCCTACACTTTCGGGTAAACCAAGGACTCGCTTTGGTCTTCCCATTATTTCTATTGCCCTTGGGAACAAACCTTTCCTCTGCCTCCTTGCATTTTGTTGTTACGTATTCCTTCATTTCATTTACTGACTTTCCTGCCAATTCTCTGTCCCACTGAACCTCCTGCAGGAAGTTCCTCATACCTGTGTAGTCCCCCCTTTCATAGTTTGGCTTTTCCCATTCAACTCCTGTTACCCTCTCCACTTGTAACTCTGCTATGTGTGTGTGCGTGTACTCGCCTAATTGTGGTTCCAGGGGTCTAGACTCAGCTCCTGGCCCCGCCTCTTCACTGATCGCTACTAGGTCTCTCTCTCTCTCTCTGCGTCCTGAGCTTTGTCATACCTCGTCTTAAAGCTATGTATGGGTCCTGCCTGTGTGTGTGTGTGTACTCACCTAATTATACTCACCTAATTGTGGTTGCAGGGGTCGAGACTCAGCTCCTGACCCCACCTCTTCACTGATCGCTACTAGGTCCTCTCTCTCTCTGCTCTACGTCACTTGCTAGGCTATTCCACTTCCTGACGACTCTATGACTGAAGAAATACTTTCTAACATCCCTGTGATTCATCTGAGCCTTCAGCTTCCAATTGTGACCCCTTGTTTCTGTATGTGTGTGTGTGTGTGTGTGTGTGTGTGTGGTGTGTGTGTGTGTGTGTGTGTGTGTGTGTGTGTTTGTGTGTGTGTGGTGCTTTCTAAAATTTTCTCTTATACGTTTAAAGATATATTTTTTTCATTATGTTAATGTAAAAATTAATAATTTTGGACCAAACGAACCTTAGAAAATTTACCTAACCTTATTATAACTAGCGAAATTTAATTTAGTCTAATCCAACTAAACATATTTTAGATAAGTTTACAATAATATAATAATAAACGAACACAAATATATTTTTTTCCGTTTGGTTCAGAATGTTTTTTTTTGCGAAATTATTGCATACACAAATTTTCATTTACCTCATTCGGCAAGAAGAGCATTGCTATTTAAGCCAAAATTGTAAGTTTTACCTATTCGACACGACACTTATTTAATTAACCGTAAATTTAGGATCATAACCCTGAACTCGTCAATAACTTATTCTTAAGTATTTACAAACATTGGTGGTACACCATCACCAAAATCAGAAAACATAAAATTACAAACTATTAACAAATATGAACATTACAATCCTAAACACTTATACACCTTTATAAGTAGAGGAATATACACCTACAAGTTATAAATATCAACATTAATGTAGCCGCCGTGAAGATTCAAGCTTTATAACAACATTACATAAAGTGCATTTTACATTGTATAGTGCTATTGAATACACTACATTACTACATTATTGGAAAAGTACAAGGATGTATAAACATAATAAAATAATACAATACTAGGACATGAATAAAGATTCTCCACATGGCATAACGCGATTAAGTAAATTAGAAGCACCATACCAAAAACCATTATAACAACTAACACGCCACGTACAAACATACCAACTATTACCACACATTCCACATAAGTAGACATTCGTTGTGTCTACGAGCACCTGCCTAACTACAACATTATATTCATTTTTTTTTTAGAGACGTAGACGATACATAAGTGTACATTAGATATTAATTTAGGTCACTGGTCCTGTTTCACATGACTTAATAATAGATATTTACATTTCAATGGTGATGCAAGAACCACATTACAAAAATATACAAATAAACCAAAGTGTTTCAAAGTACAAAGTAAAGGATTTACCCTCTCAAGATACGTTAAAAATTACAAATGCAAGACCGTTACACATTCGCCTCCAATTAAATTGCTTCAGGCTTGGTCAGTGACAAAATACGAATATACAGGCATTGAATAACA